AGCGGCGCCGGGGCACGGGGAGCAGCCCCAGCGCCGCGGCCGCGCCGCACTGAGGGGCCGGGGCAGCGCCAGGGACCCCGGCGGCATCGCGCATGTGGGAACGGGCGCGTCCCCTCAGGCCGCTCCGCCACCCCCGCCGGCGGACAGCGCCTGCCGCACTGCCGAGCCGAGCCGGCCCGGCCCCCGCCCCGGCAGCGCTTTTTGCCCTACACATTCTCCTGTTGCTCCCTTCTGACCCCATGCATTTGTAGCCCGCTCCCTCTTCCAATCGCAGGACCAGGCAGCGCCGGGTCCTTTCCCGAGACTCCGAGACGGACACGGGGCGGGATCTCCCGCCCGCCCCCTCAGCCCCGCTCCCCTCAGGTTGCTGTCCCCTCCCCGGGAGCCGGCCAGGACTCCAGCCAAAGCGGTGGATTTAGGAATCTGGGATAACCGGTAAATATGGCAACGCACGTAACTGTTACGCTCTAAAGATTGCAGTATGAGACAGGCATCTAGACAGCTCTTTCTGAGATGTACTGCAAGTTTGTTTTTATAAAATCGATGTAATTCTTTCAGCATTTTAAGTAGTTCTTTGAAGTGAGCTCCCTGAACACAAGGTTCGTTTGTGAAGAACTGTGTCTCATTACGCACACACACAGAGACACCGGGAGCTGCTTCCTTTCCCCCAGCACACCTGATCTCTGTGCTCCATACAAGGCCCTCCTTCAGCTTTCTCTGGCWAACTTCAGGATGATGCTGTCTGTGGAAACTGTTAAAAACAAAACCATACACCTCTGGTGATCTTGTTTGGATATTTTGTTTTGAAAGATATATTTAAGGCCTGTTTTAACAAAGGCCTCTGCCCATAGCACTTGATAAAATACAATGCAATATGAAGACTGGTGTTGTCCATCTAGCCTTGTCACCTGTTCAGTAACCAGTTTGTTGTGTTTCTCTTAAATACATGATTGCAGAACTATGATTTCACATAACAAAGCCTGTGCCAGATACAAAACAACAGTTTCTGTGCGGCATTTGGAAAGCAGACAGCTCCTTGCACCGAAACTGCGGTGGTGAGTGCTGCAGGCCCATTCCTCCCAGGAATGGTCCTTTTATTTCCTTCTGTGTTGCTTGACTTCCTCCTTCCTCTTTTACAACACAGTTGCTGTTCTCATGGTGATGATACTTAGTGATGTGTTTGCCTTTTGGCACAAATGATTGGAAGAAGGTAGCTTTTTCTAAATCTGTGGGCCTCCACAAGGCAGTATCACCAAAATTGTGCTGTCTTGAGAAGAATGGGCTCATGGGAACATGGGAAACTTTGTCACAACAAGAGTTTGTTGCATTGGATGACACAAACTTAGCTGCTCTCATGAGGATATTTTAATGATGAGATAATAACAAGGGAAAGACATGCACAATAAGGTAATAACATAAAAGGCCATTTGGCCGTATTTTATTATGTCCCACATACTTTTCTTGCTTTACCTGATGGGGTTTGAGTTTCCACAGAAGTTGCTTTAAGAGAAAGGGAATAATTTAATTTTCTCCCAACACTGAGACCATGGATACCCTGTTAGGTATCCATGATACAATGGTGTACCTAAGAGCCCCATACCAATATTTTGTAAAAAAAAATCTCCATCATCACAGATGAGATACTTGTTAAGATTAGTATTTGAAAAACACAAGGAATGAAGGCCTCAAAAGGATTTTTTTTGAAGTTGACATCCTGAAAATGTGTGAACATCTTGAAAACAGCTTTAGCCACTTGCAAGGATCTGTGGAAAAATAACGGAAGTTTCCTAGAGTCTGGAGCTTACAGAAAGCTTTTTCCTTCATCTTGGAGATAGTGTTCCTCTGAGTGGCRGCATCAGAAATATGGGGAGGGCCAGCAAGGAAACCTGTACATATAAGACATGCAAGATTTATTTTATTAACACTGTGCACATATCTTGGAGAGTGAAGGAGAGACTATATCCTGGTAGTAACAGCTCATCCTAATCACAGTGGCTGTGCTTTAGCTATCGTTGTGTAGCAAATGGAGAAGGAAGATGGTTTCAACCTCCCCTATCCCTATACTGGAAAATATTCTGGTGCAATTCCAAAATAAAGCTCAGCCAAGGGCCACCCAAGAGTAAAACACTCTTCAACTGTAAAATAATCCTTAGGCTGGAACTCACAGAAGAATGCGTATTGCCAACTCCCACCATGGCAGAAGGAACTCAAGATACTTGGTAAAGCTCAATTCTGGGCCCATAAGCAAAAAAAAAATATCAAACTTAAAAAAAAAAATTAGAAAACTCCTCTTCCCTGTTTTTGGCAATGGAACACATTAGTCTGGAATTAAAGCAATAACATGTTTCAGAATTCAATGTCCAAACCATCAGATAACTGGAACTTCTGAGGTTCTTCCCTTGTAAAACAGCATGCGAGTTAAATTTGAAATGCTTGTATTTTCTATTGACTACATTTTAAATGCAAACATGTATAAAAATGCTATGATGTACAAAACTCCAGACAGCTATCTTTATGCTATGCATCAATTCCAGAAAACAACTGGAAATCCCTTGGAAAGTTTGATGTAATTACATCTGACTGTAAATCTTTGACTGTTTTAATATACTCAGGTGACCTAAATAGCATTACACAGAAAAAAAAAAATTAAGTTATTAAGAAAGAGTATTTGTCTCAAGATCAGTTTCTCTGAGAAATTACTGCCCTGAAATGTCCTGTATGCCTTGTTCTACAGCCATAATCTTTGTATTTCCACATTGTAAATACTCCATGGTAAATTGCAATGGAAGCTCGGCTTAGCTCAAGTTCTCCTGGCTCTGTGGTACTGCTTCTTGGTTAAGAAAATGGATCWCATTCTCAGTTTTTGTCATTCTACGCTTTACTTTTACAAATGACTTATGTGTCCTTTGCTWGTTTAATGGTGACTTTTCTCCAGAAAATGTGAATTTCTGTCATGCTCAAACAACTTACACATGGGATATGTTGCCAATTGTCCTTTAAAATGTCTCAACCAATCACTCTTTCAAGAGGTGTAAATGAAAATCCTGTCAGCAATTCAAATGAGGTTTGCTTGAACTGAGTTGCTCCTTTTCTCTGGTATTGTGCCAAGCAAGTTGTCTGAGCATGGCCTGAAGCTGCCCTTCCTAGAYTGGCAAGCACTGACAAATATTATTTAGCTTTATGTGTATTAGATGGGAGGTGTGAGCTCATTAAAGCATTGAATTTATGATGCAGTAGTGATATAATAGTGCAGATCAGCCACGTTGTTCATGTGCAATAGTTGGCTATTCCTTTGCTATTTTCTCAGGGCTTCTGAAAACAAGAGAGGCAGGAGTTAGTAATAGGCTGGATGAATCGTGGCCAGTTGCACTTGATATATATGCTTGAAAAGTGCCATTTGGTGTATTGTGKCCCAGATAAATCTGCCACTCAGTTTGTGGATTGCCCATGCAAAAATGTGGGACCTGCTTTTTGAAGGTAAAATTGTGATGCGTCAAAATAACACCCTAATGCATGGGTTATTTGTGAAAATTGCTTGTAGAGGGTGTTCCTGAAGTTATAGTTTGTATTAAGTCTTTTGAAGTTACCCTTAATTTAAGATAGCTATAAAAAGCTGTAGAACTGCTTTGTGGAATTAGATAGCTGTAACAATATGAGTCACTACCAAAACTGGGCAATCAGTGCCCTAAAAAAAGGTGTGAAAAAAGTACAGRACAGAAAAGGGACAAGGGGAGATAATGATGGCAGGACAGGGGACTAACAGTGTGATCCTGAGAAAAAACACTGAGAAAAATCTAAAAGCCATAAGAGGCCTCGGATTAAGATAAAATTAACCATCTCAAATTCTTTGATTGTTTATGTGTGAGGAAATAGAATTCTATGCTTGTCTTAATAAATACAAACATACAATTGTATTCTTAATTTTTTCCTTTAACAAAGCATTCCATACACCCGCAAATTTTCTTTAAACTCTGAAATAAAAAAAGACTAAAAAAGACTAAAGGCATCAGCATTCTTGTAGAGAATTCAACAGCAGTACTGGACTGACAAGCAGAGATAACATCTTAGCTAACCTCCAGATTCAGTCAGCCATAAGCACACTGTGAACCTTTTTTTTCTAACTACCAAGTTGATGCTATTTTTAAAAAAACCCACATACAGATTATTTTCAAATGAAGACATTTAAGTGTAGCATTTCATTAAAGAAAAAAGTGACAACATATACTTTAGCTTTCTATTTCATCTTAAATCACATAACTAGATTATTGCAATATTCTTTAAATTCWGAAGTCCCTTTCTCAAATGGCAGCGAAAATAGCTTTTCTCGTGACTGTTTAACTTCTAAGAAAGCTACTTTTTTTTGCTCTTTTATGTCAATCCTTCCCATGCACTGTCATCATTTTACCAGGGTAATAGTCTATTTTCTTTCCTTCTCTTTCACTTTCTTCAGTATCTTCTGTAATTTTCTTCACTAAGGGAAAAGTTCTTGATTCTGCTKCTCATGGCTCAACTGCTTGAGCACTGTAAGTTTTGAGACACAATTGTAAACTAAGATTAAAGAAGTGATGGACARATCCCACATATTTAAATTTCTATTTAAAGAGTGAATAGGTATTGAAGATGGGCTTTTCCTGAGTAGAGCAGTGGACAAATTCTGTGTTTATATTTACAGATACTTGGATTTGAGTAAAGTTGTCAAAAAAGGGTAATGTGAAAAAAAATCCAAAAGTAGTTTGAAGGCTGGAGAAAAAACCTTTATGGCTGACGAGTTCAATACTAGTAACCTAACAAAAGTCAGATTGCAGAATAAGCGCCTTTATGCACGTATTCAAAACAGTCTGTCACTGTACATGGTGATCTAATGAGCTCTTCTGGTGTGGAAAACATGACCTTACAGGAGAATAGCACTGCTTTAAGAGTGTGGGCTGTCTCTTGCCTGTTTTCAAGGACTCCAGTATGGAAAGGGTCCCTGTGCAGCCTGCCCTACACCTAGGCTGAATGTATATTCATGAAACTAAAGAACTGGAAACAATCCTGAGAAAAACCCTCTTGTGGCTTTCTTACCTGAAATTTTGGTTTTCTGGAGAGACATAATAACCACTCCAGGAAGATTAACTGGTGTTTAGGGAGAACTGGGACATCTAACCTGCAACCCCAGACATCAGGCTTGTCATGAGTTTAGAGCCAAGCTTTTGAGAGCTGTTCAGAAGGAAAGCAAACTGCCATATGGAAGGG